TGTTATGTCTCGTCTTTAAAAATGAGGTAATGTTTGTTAATCAGGTGCCCATAAATGAATATAGTCGTTCAATTTAATTAATTATCATCATGTGGGATACATGAGGCTGATTAGTTTTACGGAAATTTTCAAGACGCACTTACAAGTGTCATTTTTTTTCGTACAATAATATCCTTTGTTAAATAAAAAAATACAATTCTTTGTTTTTTATCAAAATAAACTCGTGATATGTGTATTTTTAAAAAAATCCGGGTTTTTTTTTATCGAACACAATCAAGCAGATTGTATAATTGTCACACTTAAGTTACATGCATCATATAAAGACAAAGGCACTTTGGATATTATAAACCTTTAATATAAGAACTCGTATGCTTCATTTCTCAGAATCTAGCAAACATGAGCCTGGGGGAAAACAAAGATGAAACATGGTAAGAGTCTTCTCACTATTTCTCATTATAAATTCATGGTTTAGAGTAATTAATTATTTGAGGAACAAATACCCTTTAATTGGAGAAATTGCTTTGAAAATATTTTTGATTTCATCAAGTTTTTAAAATTGTTCAGCCAAAATCTTCGTATTCATCTTAATGCCATGGTAGCTCAGTCGATGGAGCACTAACTCCATGGTCGGAAGGTCCTGTGTTCGCATCACGGCCGCGACTGACGTATATCGATATAAATAGGTCGTAACTGCTCCTTCACCAAGAGCTGGGTACTTTTAGTAGTTTGGAGTAAAACTTGTGGGTCCTTTACATGAGACCTTAAAAAACCGAGACCCCATGTCGCAGTAGGTGCTGGCACGATAAAGATGCTGCTCATAGTGTCGAGTAAAGGATGTCAGCCTTTCTAATTGCATAAAAAAATCTCGAATGGTATATAAAACAGCAAACAATCAATCGTATTCATCTATCGAAGCCTATTTAAAACCTTTCAGAAAATGCATTTGATTAATAGAACGTATTTCAAAAATTTGAAAGTGGATTTATTTTGTTATACATTTCATGAATTTGTTAATATAAGGCATTAAATATAATCTGTTTCATGAATTGATTTCACCCTTTTTTGAACAAAATAAAAACCCTTGAATTTTAAACAGAAAACTTTAAACTTGCTATTAGACGTACCTTATACACATAAAATAATGCATAATAATGTGATATTCTGCCAAAAAAAAGGCATCGCTTCTTTTATCTAACATAATTTTTATTTATTGCACAATTTTTAGCTCATCTCAACGAAGTTGGGGGAGCTTATGTAATACTAGTACCCTCGGCGTCGGTGTCGGAGTCGGCATCCCGGGTTAAGGTTAAGTTTTTTGGAGCAGTTTTCTTTTTAAGTACTTCTGTGTCCTATATTGATTAAACTGCATGGAAGATGTTTCTAGCGTGTTTCATTGTACCAGTGAAAGTTTCAGATGCTGTAATTTCAGCAAAGGAATGACGAGGTTAATGTTTTTGGAGCAGGTTAACATTTTTGGTGCAGTTTTTGGTGTAGGTCTCATTTCCGAGTAACTATAAGCCCTATGTTGACCAAACTTGCATGGATGGTACATCTTAGGATGCACACAACCATGCTTGCTTCGAATGCTGAATCTGTCTTTTATTTTCTGGATTAGTGAAAAGTTAGTTTTTTTATACAGGTTTCATATCCAAGTAACTTTGAGCTCTATGTTGAGCAAACTTGCATGGATGTTACAATTTAGGATGCACACTAATGGAGTTGCTTCAGATGCTGAATTCGACATATATTTTCCAGATAATGGACCTCATAAAAGTTATGGGTGCAGGTCTATTACCAAGAAACAACAAGGCTTATATAAACCAAAGTTGCACAAATGATGCATCAAGGGATGAAAACTCTCAAACTTGCTTCAGATGCTGGATGTTAATTACGTTTTCATGATGAAGAACTAGTTTAAAGTTTTTTTATAGGTCTATTCCAAAGTATTAAATAAAAATTGCATAAATTTTCCATTTTTGGATGTACACTTTCTGTTTGTTAATTGTGTGACTTTGCCTTACTAAAGGACAACATTCGTTGAGGTGAGCTCTGTAATCTCTGATTATCTATGTTTTATATCGTTATGAACCTCATGTTTTTAATATCATATTTTTTTCTGTTCACTGTGTCTCTTTTTTTCCTTCACGACATGGTAAGACATAAAATCAATTTTAGTAAAAGGGAGCCTCGTTTGTTGATCTTTTTTTCACTTGAATGCTTTTGTTGTTGACAAATATAAATGTTAAGATTAATTTGATAAAAAATAATTGAGAACATGGTACATTACACTTAAATCCCAATCAATTCAGAAAGTCAATGTTCCTAGTATATAAAATTGTATATCAATTATTTTAAAAATTAATGAGAATAACGAAAATAATTAAATTGAATGTTTTGGTTTAGTTGTTGAAACCTTGGTAGCTTTATGTCTTCTGTGCCATCATGTTGTCAGCGTTTCTAATAGTCTGTAAGTATTGTTTAAATTTATTTTTTCCCCATTTTTTTATTTATTATCTATTGAGTTATTTCATTAGTTTTGTTATTTTTTGCATATATATATTTATTTTTTCTGGAAAATGAAGTATATATATATTGAGATAACGAACAGTATTCAAGCTCAAAATCCATAAAACAATACAAAACAGGAGCAGGGACAACATTGACCTCCTAAACACGAGGTGTGTTATCAGGTGCCATGGAGGGGTAATATAACTTATATTACAAGTTATATTTATTAGGTATGTAAAAAACAATGAATGAATTTCAAATTTGAACAAAATTTGTTTTTCTCCAGACAATGTATTGAAAGAGCCACGGATATTTACAAGAAAATTACTAACACCACAACATGTTTATCCAGTTATGAAAGTAAGTAGACATTTCACAGCTTTTATCACTGGTATTTAGTATTACAGAGTTCAATTGTATGATGAAATATTTATATATTTAAAAAAAAATTATCACACCAGATAACAAATAGAAATGTTTAAAACCGGTGCCCTTACATCTTTTAGAAAACGTTTCTTTGAGAAACATCACAGAATGTTCCGAAGACTGTGTTGTAAAAGAAACATCGAGGGAGGATAACTATATGAGAATACACATCAAATACGACACTGATATTATTTTAAAGCTAGAAAGCAAGAAGAATTATAACTGTGGATACAGTTCTAAAAACATGTATATCGAATGCACCATAAATAAAAGAAAACAAGGTAAATCTATTGAATCCATTATTTACTTTGATGTCTAATGACAAAATTTGTTTATGCATGTACAAAGTTTCCTTTTTCTGGTTTTGTTGGTTTTGCACATGTTTGTTTGTCTATTTAACTGTCTAGATTATATTTTTTCTATTTCTTATTTTTTTCAGAAAGGTTAGAAACATGTATAACTGGTCAATGTATCAACAGTCTGAACGGAAGAACCATTCATTCAAAGCAAGTAAATGGTGAGTTGAAAAAAAACATGTTTTTTTTATTTTAGCTCCAAGTATGCCTCAATCATGTAGCTATATAAAATTAAAATATATAAATTATACATATTTTATTTCCATTTTAATACATGTATCTATAAAATCTTATATATTTATATATAATTTTCTAGAAACAGATAATGTTACTCTAGCTCCTCAAGATGCGAATCCCTTATCAGACCCACTCATCTTTTCTGCTGCAATTGCAGGATCTATTATTCTCAGTGCCGTTATTACAGGAACTGGGTGCTTACTGTTCATGAAATAAAAAAAAGACATGTACCTCTATATAATGTTTTCCAATACAATGCATTCTAAGATGATCATAGGTCCATCAACCATCTTTGATTTAAATTCAATCAAAGTCCAGTATGAAGTATTGAGCATGAGGCTTATATGGTATCTTGGGAGAGTATTTCTACAAAGGTTAATTGAAATGCAATGCTCTTTTGAGATACATTTAAATATGAAAGGACAGTTCTTTTTTATTATTTTTTTCAGCTATACTAGTCAAAGTGTCTTAGCAACATTCCTGACATTTTCTTTCATAGAAATACTGTATTTTCAATACATTATCTTGGTTGTTTTTTTTTACAAACATGTTTTTTTTAGTTTTCTAAAAATACAATTTTTTGAAATCTTATACAACTTTTTAAAATCGCTTTGTCTTGAATTGTAAATCAACATAAGAGTTAAATGTTAATACTTCAAGTCATTAAGAATGCGGATACAGTTACTTCAATATAATACAATCTATATTTTTATACACAATGGAAGTCATGTTATCAACAATGGCATCTATCCAATTTTCTATTTTCTTTCGTATATAAGCAAACCATTTGGGGAATATAACTTATAAAGAAATAAGTTGACAAAAGTTGGACTCTGACTTTTGATTTTCAGAGATACAGTAAGAACTATAAATATTTAATATTTGATAATATCATACTTTCATGAATTACTTGAATCTGATTCGTCGAGAAACATTTGTTGAAAAACACTATTACCCGCTGAATAATGAAGCCACGACCTCCTGTGTAGCAACAGTCAACATTGCTTGACAACGGGTGATATTCCAAACAATAGTGACTGCGCAGAATTTATGCGCGCACGGTTCACTGTTATATGTATTTGTATAAAACATCAGTATAATATAATAAATATTGCATGTAGTTGAGTGTAACAAGAAAATCACTGTCAACCTCGGCTGCGCCTCGGTTGACAATGGTTTTCTTGGGGTGAACATTTTCAATGTTACACACAACTACATGCAATATTTATATACTAGTTTTTCAATATTGTACATACGTTGTATTTATAAAAGATTTCATTCAGTGTCACTTTTCTAATACGTGACCATTGTCGCTTCTAATAAGTTTTGAGTATAATAAATTGAAAATCAAGTGGATTGGAATTTTCAGGAAAAAAAATCATCAAAAGTCGAAATTAGATTTGTATTTTTAGCATGAATTGTTATTTATGTCTTTAAAACCTCCGAAACTCAGTGGCAGCAATTGTTTAACCACAAACCATGGCTAGAAGGCAGCATTAACCAAAACAGTGTTCATAAAATGAAAATTGAGAAATAATTTTTATCTTAAAATCACACCTCCCTCCCATATCAACAATGTTTATTATGGGAGTCTTGAACTTTTTGTTTTGATACTTTTATTTGTCTGGTTTGTTTTCCCTTGCCATTTTTATTATTATGGTTCTCATTAAAGTATTTTTTTATAAGTCTATTCAAATCCATTGTCATGAGTCTTTCGATGAAGTATGGCTGATTTGAACGATTTGATTTGGCTTAATCTAACCGGTACCATTTATTTTGTGTGCGGTTTGCTAGGTTTTGTCTGATGTTATCGATTTTACTTGTGCTGTGTTTCAAGTGTTTGATACATGTATGTCTGATTTTTATTATGGTATTTTTGAATTTGTAATATATTTACATGAATGTATGATGATAATAAACTTTATTGTGCTAATTTTCGAGTTTATGATTCAGTACATATCTGATTTCAATGATTTTCATCGTGCTATATTCTGGGGTTTCTTATTTTGATCATTTTGAATGTAATTATGTTTTGAAAACTGATTTTAATGACATGTACATGTATTGTTATTATTAAAAGATCAAAACATATATATATGTCTTGTTTTAAACGCACAAGTTGCTCTACCTGTGATGTATTCAATGATTAAAATGTGTTTTCAATAATAATTTCTAATGGATATTTTTATGTTATTATAGGCAAAAATAAATTCATCTCTTACCTTCGCTTTTCAGGGACGATTTGACCTACATGTACATGTACGTTTCATATTGTTGTTCCATATTGTTCCTTCGTATACCTGGTATGTAGTGTACAAGCAAATAAAATGTTTATCGTCATTTTGCTAAAAAATGTACATTTTTTATTCTAGCTTACATGTATATACTCCTATGTTAATATGTTGAAAATCAAAAGGACCAATAGCATTCTGAAGAAAAGAGTGGAAAAAATAAATCATATTGTATTATCAATACCAATCAAAACAAATAGATTCTTTTTGGGAGACGATTAATACAATGGATGTATGTGGATCTAAATGGTTGAATCAACAAAATATTAACCCCCTCTCTTCCCGTCATTGCGGGATATTAATTTTCTGTCTGTCTCGCTTTCGTTTCCACGTTAAACTTTGTTTTATATAAATTATTCGTAGTATCGGGAAACATAGCATTTTAGAAAATTAAAAAAAATTATTAGATAAAAATTAAAACGTATTTTCTACATTAAAAAAAACTTTTCAGAGCACACTTTTATTGATAATGGATTGATGTTCAACCAAATAAGTGAATAAGTGGAATAAGTGAGTATAAATAGGTGAATATAAGAGTGAATATTTCGATTTTAATTAAAGTTGAGTTATTTTGCTTTACCAGTTTATAAAATCAGTTTACGTGTATGAATACAATCTGTCTTTTTTTTCTACTTGAAAATCTTACTCTAGCCAAGATACAAAAAATTAGTACATGTACTTGAAGAATGCGGTTTTTTTAAGAAAGACGGAAGAACGTGTACTTTCTTTTCTAAATTGTAATATTGTTGACGAAAGTGCTCTTAAACCTAGAGTATTTTACTTCAGGGATTATAATTATTATGTTATTTCAAGCTTTCATTGACTTGCTATCATAGCAGTACATAAAGTCTCTCTATATTGGATTAATACTTAAACCCTTACTAGTAATTGTCTAGCACACTATACATACAGCTGTTTGTCTGGCAAACAATATCTTTCTAATCATACCCCTTCACTGAGGAGTTAGAAAAGTGATTCGGTATATTTTCCCCCTATTTCAAGTCATTCAAGAGAATGATATACTGGTATTTTATATATTATATTATATTTTCAATATTAAGCTATACAGTAAGCTTGAGTATCCTTTGTCCTTGGATGAGTGACCTACATATGTTACAACTGCATTAATTGGCAAAAAGAAATGAAGGAGATATTTGTACCCACTTATAAATCTGTTCCTCGGCATTTCGTAGGCCGTAATAACGACCTTGTTAGTAAAGAAAACCTATATCATTAGGTCTTATTTTGGCTGAATTGTTTCAGATCTATTATTTCTAGGCCATTGTACTACGTTATTTACTACGTCTTCCTGATCAATAAATCGGTCAACAGGGGATGCTCACTCCTCCCACGTACCTGATCCCACCTCAGGAATTGCGAAAGGTCAGTTTTTGTTACGTTTATAGATCTTTTTGAGATAGACCACTATCATAATCATCTTTTATTGAGTATATATACACAGTTATTCAGTATAAATTGAACTGAACATTGTAACATTTCAAGAACTTGTCTTACGAAGTCATTGTTAAGGACAAATGATATAAACATTTTTTTCTTTGGAGGAGATTAAATATCATGTCACAGTTCTAGTTTTAGAAAAGAGGATATACTCGTAATTCTCTGAATTTTTTTTCTCTTCATGGACTTTGAGAATGAAATACCTTCTATAATTCCCCCGGGAAAAGCAAAACGGTAAAAATTCACAAAAATCAAATAGTCTGATTTTAACATTTTGCTTTTCCGCATAAAATTCATCTAGCCTGATATATTATTAAAGTTTATATTACACTTTTAGCACCAAACTAGGACATTTATTATATTCTGAAATTTGTTTTCATCTGTAAACCTTTACTAAGTGTGGTTTTTCCGTATTTGTAATTTTATTCAAGTATTAACAAATATTTTTCAAGGGTTCATTTCTTTTATGCAAGAAAATACAACGGTTTTTTGACTAAATGTAATACCAGTTAACTAAATGTGCTCCTTTAGTATCATTTTCGAAGAAAACAAGAGGGAAAAAGGTGAAGATTAAACGATTTTACCATGATTATTCTAGCTGTGTTTTTTTTAAGGGGGTGAGATATGGTAGGTATTGAATTCTACAAGTCTAAAAAGAAAAAAAAAACAAAAGAAGTGTCTGCTTTTTCTTAACCAGTGACGTGATATTAAATCTCCTCCAAAGAAAAAAAAGTTTCTGTATCATCCGTACTTAACTAATACTAATACACTTCATAAAAGAGTGTCAAAACAAGTAAATTGGATTTGAGAGGAGAAAAAAATATTATATAAAACTTAATGATTTAGAAACCGGATTTTATTAAAGAGCCCTTTAGTATTACTGACTTGGTTTTCTATAAACGTATAGACTCGAGGAAAAAATCACAAGATAACTTCTTTAGCTGAAAAAAAATCACTTGAATATCAACAATAGATCTACTCAATACATGTAAAATTCAGAAAACTAAAACTGAAGCCTTATGAAATACGTCCGGTTTGACGGGTCTACTGCAGCTAGTACGGTCCCATTTAGCAAAATTTAGTCAAATCTTATGTACATGAAATTCAACATTTTTATTAATTTTTCTTTACTTTGTCATGCATCCATTTATTAGCTAGCCTAATTTTGTATTCATATGAGGCAATTTGATTTTTTTTTAAAAAAAAAAACTTGTTCACGAGAAGAAGAAAACACTCGACGACGAATTATTTTAATTAACAAGAGTAACTTTCCTTCATATGTCAACCCGATATTGTTTATATTTACAAAAAAAATAGATGAAAGGAAAAAGTAATAATCATAGTATTGTATGACAGAGATTATACAAAAATAATAATACACATATAGTTCATACTATTATTATTAATGTACAAAAACAATATGCGTGTAAAATTAACATATAGCAGATTTATTGTTGGCAGTTTATATCAAATCTTTTAAAATATATTTCCCAAGATTACAGTCTTTCGACATTATTGACACTAATGAGCTGAATAAATTTATACTCCAGCGAAACTGAAGTATAAGATTCCACAGATTCTGGTACACTGTTTCATATCAAGATATTTTTTAGAAAAAGAAAACATGAAGGTAGCTTAACAATAAAACTCAATGATAAACATTATAATTTCAACTTTTCTATCGTCAAGTTTTCTTACAGTTGTACTTACTTAGCAGTAAACCCTTATCACCTGCATGCAGCTGGTTCATGTACCTAAGCTGATTCGATACATAGAACAGGCACCACTTCTGGACAATTTCTACCACGGGGTAAGCTATTGACCAATAAGTTGATAGAACAAGGTTATCAAGTACCTCATTTAATATTAAACTGACAAATATGTTGATGTTAAAGGATATAAAAACCTGACCGTTTAAAAGCAACCTATCACATTGAAATAATTTATATCAATCAATAGGGCTTTGTATTTATACTAAATTTGACTAAGGATTATTCCGTCTTCCTGATTAATACATGAAGAACACAATAGTTGTGACCGATTGAAAGGGGTTGCTTGCTCCCGATAGATACCTAATCCCTCTGAAGGAATTTCTGGAACTAAATAAAACAGAATAAACAGAATAAATGAGAACAACACTTTTTACTTTGAAATAAAAATGATTTAATAATCTTAATGATCAACAAGATATAATTAACTTTGTCTGTACAACATAAAATGACAAGGAAAGCATTCGTCTACAGTTTCCCAGAAAGAGAAAGCTAATTGCACTAAGCCCCCTCTACTAATCAACACACAATAAAACTTCTGAGTATTTGCAAAGTCTGGTTCATTTTCAACATTTACGAAACACACATAAAAAGAGAAAAAACAAGCTTTGGGAAAAATGAAGAATTTTCACAAATAAAAAATATTCAATATTTGTAATTGTAAATATTGTAAACAATTTATGGGTTATCCATTCTCGAAATCAATTATGCTTTGTATGAAAAGAAATTAATATGGATGTTGGAGAAAATAAAGTTCAGCCATACTAAATGTCTAAACATAAAATAATAAAGCAATAAAGAATAACAAATGAAATCATTTGGCACAAAACAGTTCTAGTGCTAATGTGAAAAAGATAAAACATAAATGAGGTCATTTCCATTCAAAAAACACATTAGTGTCAGAACAAAGAAAACACATCATAAAACATTTAAACATAATCAATTGTGAGTTTGATTGATTTACAACAAATATCTAAAAAGTATCTATTTAGGGTTTTATTATTGTACATGTATAAAGCAAAGCTGTTCTTGCTTGCATGTACTTCTCTTTAGAAAAAAAAATTGAAGGAAACAACCCTCTATCTTTCCAATACCTCTTCACTTCATTTTCCATTATAAAAGTAACATTATTATCTGCTTGCCAAAATAGAACTATTTCTTGTGGAGATTGAAGATATGATTATGAAAATTGGGTCCATGATTGTTGAAAAAGAAAATACTGCAGCAATCTTATTTTAAGAGTTATCACTCTTTCCATAAAGGGAAGTTATTCGTTGAAATATTTGTCCCCGAAACATTTTTTTTAAATAAAGATAACAACTGTCAAATTTTAACCAAATCTATTTGAATTTAGCTTGTTAAGAAAATCAAGATAAATATATTCCTGTCTTCAACTTTTTTCCTCTATTTTATCAAACTTATAAAATATAGATAAACAAATTTTAAAGAATGCAGAATTGAACTCAAACCAAGTCTATAATAAATAAAACAATCCTTGATTGTTCTCTTCACAAGATTCAATACAATTTATCAACACAACCTCTTTCAGATCATATCATGTACTCTTTGACAATTAATCAAAATATAATGGGTACCTGACTAATTTGACATTGTCTAACTATATACCTAGAGTTTCATTTCAGAGTCAGCATCTTTAGAAAAACAACACATACTGATATGATTTTCTTGGTAAATTGTTGCAAAATAACTATCACAACATCTAGCACAACCTTGTGGTTCATTTTTTACCCAGAATGCAGTGTATATGTTTACATATGTCCCAATGTGCATTTGGCAAGAATGAAGTGTTCGTTTGATAAAGAAATGGAGCACACAAAAAATGAAATTGTGCAAAACTGGATGAAAAGAATGAATATATTTTTGTGGGAGAAATCATAGGAATATAATGATTTTAAAAAAAAACAAATATTTGAGTGAAAATGACAAATGTTTCATATGATTCACTTTCTTTAAAGATTATCCTTTGCTATGAAAGATAAAATTTCAAGTCATCAAGTCCAGCTATTAACATAAAATAAATCATCAATACTCCTCATTTTCAAAATGTATCAATATAGGGGGAAACCATCTGATTTTGATAATAGGAGTGGCAAAGAATTTTATAATCATTTCGGTACATGTACTTTGATGCACAGGAAAGAAACCAAGCCATTTGTTGGAAGAAGATAAAAATTTAGAAGTTTTAGAATAAAACTCATTCCAAAAAAATGTCAAATAATATAGCAACTTATTAATATTTCAATTGCTTTTAAATGTATCTGAAAAATTTCCCATTTACATGTATCCTTGCATGCACCCAGCTTTGTAAATATCAATCTAAAATGGCCATAGAAGTGGTGGTATTCATTTCAGTCTATCATTTTGGGAATTTTCAGATTGCAAGTAGATGTCGCTACAGTATCATTGGAAAACTTGCAAGGGTAATCTCAAATAGTATAGCTGTGATGACTGATTTTGTGTCATCAAATGAACAGAACTTTACTGTAAAAGTTGATAATGAATATGATCGATGATGGAGACGTTGATGAATTTGATTATGAATTTCTAGAAGGGAACAAGTAAATGTAAGCTAGAACTACATGAACTACAAAATTTCACAACCTTTTGAATATGAGGATTCTGCTTGGTTGAAATTCCCATTCATATTTAAAAATAAAGTGATCAAGAGCAAGCACATTGAGTTTTTTCAAACAATCATTCTCATTTACCCAACAGAAAAGTCATCATGGCTGCTTTTTACATACAGGTACATACATGTACAAAAATGTACATTAGTCAAAAATAAACAAGATGATCAATAGCTTGTAAGTACATACACTTTCAAAATAATCTCCAAAGTTTTTAAAACAAAACAAATAACTACATTTTGAATGCTTGAAACGCATTTAGGTACAGAATAAAGGTCATTTTCAAAATGCATGGGTTTTTATACTATCCAATAAGTATACTAGTTTAACAAATTATTAATTAACTACAGATTGTTCATTTAGAAAATTATTTCCATTCCATTTTTTTAAGTACATATTAGATAACAATGTCCTCAAATACATGTATGTTCATGTAATCTTTCTTAAAAAAAAAAAAAAAAAAGAATTTGGGAATATGAATTACCAGCAATATCTGCTTTATGAAGAACATGTTTAAAATATTTCATTTAAACATTGGTACAAGTTTTTTGGATTCAATACATTGTTTAGCCTTCACTACATTTTTTCAAATAGATAAATGCAAGTATAATACTGAATAAGTACGAAGAACGACTCTATAGTTTGACTAGAATAAAGATTTTTACATGCACGTCTTCAGCAGGCTCAAAGTTATATATATATATTATCCTGAATATATTTTTATTTAACTATAAATAGACATGATGAAACTTTTACATTCGCTCATGTAAATCATACAAATCTATGAAAATCAAATACATATATCACTTTTCACGTCAAAAATCTTTCCTTTTATAACCATGATTAAAATTAAAACATGTACAAAAATTCATGATTAAATATCTGTTGTTGTGACAAATACAAAATCTTTGTTCACAGAAAATGACACATTCTTGGACAGGGGACTAAACATTCACTACATACATCAGTGATTTATTACAGTACAGCTCACTCGAAGCCAGGTGAAGGTTTTACTACATCAGTGAACCACAAACAGCTAATTATGGCACATAATTAATTCATTAATAAGAAGAGATTCCTAAATGAGACATTATTGTAGATTCTGCATGTGGTTTCTTTGCTCACTTGACTGTCATCTGAGCTCCAGTTTTTCTTAATCTGAAGGAAAGTCACACCAGGAAATTAAACTGCAGCAAAATGTCACAATTTTATAAACACAGGATGAAGCCGTATGTGAAACAATTCGCTGTTGAAACGATTCCACTAGGTTGTTGGATGATGCATGCATTACGCCAACTTCATTGGAATGTTATATGGAACTTGCACAAAGTTGGAATGATCACGGGAAAATTAGGTCACTGCCAGTTCCCAATAAACTTGAAGGTCATGGACACAGTCTCAAAAGAATAACTATTTTCTGGACTAGTTACATTATCATCACATTTTTGAAATGTCATTAAGGTTTCAAAAGTTCATTCACTAAAGCGTACGATACTTTTGTTTTTTCTGCCAATCACTGCTAGAAGGATCGTTTCAGAAAACTACCGCCCATGCAGGTTTCGAAAGTACTGGAATTGCAATTTTCAAACTCTTATTATTTCATTTTTCAAGTTTCAGTTATTATGGCTTACATTGAAATTTCACAGAACTGAATATGCACTGCACTTTTTGTAGCACTTTAAAACAGTCATTTCAAGTTGAACTTTGCAGTTTCATCACTTTGGAAAGTTTTTTTTTCATGCAAAATTTGCTTCTAATTTATGTTTGGAAGATACATTTGCACAAGCTACCAAAGTTTGTTTTCAACATAAGACAGCTTGAACAAGAATTTCATATGGTTAACATAATCTAAAGCCCTATAATAAAGATGGACCCTTAATTATTGAATTACTGTACGTCCTTTGCTATAGCCTGGCTCCAGTGAAATGGGCTTCAATTCTGAATCCATATAGTTGCAAATATCTGGTTCATTCAATTAGATTCGGTGACACACTACAATATCAGATGTTCTCCATACTTTTTCTCAGATATCCCTTGAAGCAGGATAACTGAGGAGATGATACTGATAGAGGAAACCTTAACAATCTGTGTAAGACCAGAACACCCTAATCTCGCACAGTGTGTGTCAGTGGAAGACTAGTTTTGCCAAAGTCCATGAGATTGCTAAAGCCATGAGCACTCTGCAGTTGGCTCCAAGGTCATGTGATGCTAAACTGATACCTGATTGGTGTATGCTGGCCATCTGGCTGTTGGCAAGACCTGAAAAGGTACAGATACATTTTCATTTCATGGATGAATTCTTATGTTTTTCTCTAATTTATACAGCATATAAGAACTAGAACAAAAATGTGCTCAATTGTGTACAAACAACAGGAAATGCAAGAAAAAGTAACATTTTGACATCTCCAGGCATTGATCAAAGAGTTTGCATTAGAGGGAGCACTATACGATGTGGAAAGATCTAGAAACCTAGTTTCCATCAGGTTAAAGCAATGCTTGAGGACTATTTTGCAATCAAAGCTTGTAAAGATAACTGAATTCTTCTCTTGTATCATACATCTGACAGTGAAAATAACTATTCTCAATTTTTGACTTGGTTTATGACGTGATGTGCACCGGCAGGACCCCTGTCTGAAAACCTAATAGAGGCCTGTTATAGTATTTTTTTTAAAAAACTGTCAAAATAACTAAGAACTTTATGAATTTAGAAATGGAGCAAGTACCTTTTTTAATCAGATTGTGTGTAAATATGAGGCCTGTGTATTGATTAAGACTTTCAGATCAGAATAAAGTGACAAATTTTACTACCACACAAGGATGACACAAACTAAAAAGTCAAAATCCATTCCAAAACCTCAGAACAAGAAATGATCGCTCACGGATGAAACTTCAATCAATACCCACATTATCGGGAGGAAAACAATTAAAGCATCACTGCACGGTGATCGCATTTTAATCACAACCCATGCAGCCATTAATCTTGTAAAAAGGACTTAATGAACACAATTTCTAAGCCATGATTATAGCACGACTCCATTAAAGGAGATAAGTATTTTGGGCAATAAAATCTCAATCTAGTCGCCTCCCTAGAGAGCTCTCAGGAGCTGAATTCAACTCAGTCACCATGGTGACACGAAATGAGAGAGAAGCCATTGCTATTATTGGACTCTAAAAGTTGAATAATCATGACTTATTCATCAATGAAGACATTTTATTCCAAGTAAATGGAAATTTCAGGGGGAAAAAAGTATATGAGTCATATATGAAAGAATTAATTGTTTCCACCTATCTAAACCCATTAACTTAAAACAATGGGAAAACATATATTGTAATACCAAAACCTGAGTGTATTTTCAAACTTCTTACTCAATACTTGACTCTTTCATCTTAAAATATCTAATATCTTAACTAAGTGCAGTATATGCATTTTATCCTCAGTTAATACCTGGATAATTGTACCTAATCTATGGTTACTTGGCCTGCTAATTTCTTTGTTTCCTTAGCCTTATGCTTTGATAAAAACTCTGACTGCAGGCCTGGTAAATCCTGCACAAGCCTTAAAACTAAACCTGCACACCTATACTTTAACTATGATTAACACCCAAGCTCCCAAAAACCAAACCTGAACACCTATATCTTACATTTGGTTAACACCTGAACTCCCCAAAACAAAACCTGAATACTAGCTTGTACCTCATCGTAGATTTACACCTGATTCATAGAACGAAACCTTTAAAATACATATATCTTATCTTTGGTTAACACCTGAACCTAAACACCTGTGTCTTATCTTTGGTTAACACCTGAACCTAAACACCTGTATCTTACCTTTGGTTAACACCTGAACCTAAACACCTATATCTTATCTTTGTTTAACACCTGAACCTAAACACCTACATCTTATCTTTGTTTAACACCTGAACCTAAACACCTGTATCTTACTTTTGTTTAACACCTGAACCTAAACACCTGTATCTTACCTTTGGTTAACATCTGAACCTAAACACCTGTATCTTATCTTTGTTCAACACCTGAACCTAAACACCTGTATCTTACCTTTGGTTAACACCTAAACACCTGTATCTTACTTTTGGTTAACACCTGAACCTAAACACCTGTAACTTACCTTTGGTTAACACCTGCTCCTAAACACCTGTATCTTACCTTTGGTTAACACCTGAACCTAAACACCTGTATCTTGCTTTTGGTTAACACCTAAACCTAAACACCTGTAACTTACCTTTGGTTAACACCTGCACCCCTCTCTTATCCCCCCTCCCTGAGCTGGTTCTGGCCCAGACAAAGAACCTGTACTGGTGGTTGGCCTGTAGACCTGTGATCCTGGCTGAGGTGTGGGAGGGGTTATTAATCCTTGGTTCCAGGGCCCTGATATCTCCCTCCACTTCACCATTCACTGAAACAATTTACCTATGGTTCACACAGACTATTCAAAATAGATTTCTTGAAATATATATTTCTTCAAAAACCCTTTTTATTAATTTTCCAACTAACCAACTTCAACATTTAAGGGAGAAGATGACCTGATAGTTTTACTTGTATTTCAATAATGATTTGCCCAATATATTGCCCTATACTGAATTTGCCCGAAATTCATTTAAAAATTTACAGAAAATGTTCAGTATTGAAAGCTAAGGGTTCATTCCTCTCAAAAGAAAAGAAAATTTTGGCAACTGTATCAAAATATATCATAAAATTTTAAAGGATTTGACCATGATCATTCCAAAACAAAATTCTATTATAACAATAAGGTAAAATTCATCATGTATATCATGTTGCAGATTTAAAGCCACTCATTGCGATTAACCAAAGGACAGTCTCAAATATGGACAATTGGAGTGGGTATCTTCTGGTTCAAAATGAGCCTTACGTTTTTGGTAACCAAGGTCGTATCCTAGCAGAAATCCGTTAGGTTCGTCGGGAGGATCCCACTTCAAGACCACGTGATCACTCTGTACCTCCTCCTTCTGTAGGTTACGAACGGGACCAGGGACTGAAAACAAAAAAAAAATCTAGCGGTCAACACAGAAAGGAAAGATAAATTATAAAAATACATATAATTCAAAATTTCTCAATCTTCCTTTACATATTTTCTTTTTCTTTATAATTACAGATTATTCCAAAAATATCAGGAAATCAGGTTTTTTTATGCATTGATTTACTTGGTTGATCCAAAAAAAATTTCTAACAATTCACAAGGAATGAATTAAATCTTTTCAAAAAATCAGTAAAATTGTAAATTAAAAGAAGTATTTAGAACTCAAATATTCTAGTATCTTATATTCTAATATAACCTAACAAACCAACAGACAGACAGACAACTGACCTCCCTCGGATGTTTTGAAATCAATGGTGTCACTAGGAGGTCCCGTGTGGTGTCCATTCATCACCGATACTTGCGCTCGGAATGCCGTGTTGGCCGGTAAATCAAATATGGAGGCCCTCACGTCATGTGACAGGTGTTCTATGATAATTGGTACCTCAACCTTGTTCCTTCGTCCCTCACTGGATTTCCAGTATTGTAACTATAGCAAAAGAAAACAGAGATTTATTTGAACTGAGATTCAATCAAATACTGAGATTAATTACAATGTTATAAAAAAAAAATCAATTTCTCTTAAAACCAGAAGTCTCTGTCGAGACTGAAGCTCTACTGGTTTGTACTTATAGCAAAGGAAGAGAAAAGTACTTATAAGCAGATGGGAATTGAAACTTTAAAACAGCAATAAATTATATTACATTATATTATAATCTGACTAAAACTGTATTTGGAGTAGCATTTTAAGAGCATTTAACTGAAATTTCTATTTTTAGTACCACGGCAACACCGTTCATTGAAGTCAAAAACCGATAAACAGAATTATGTATCTTAGTGTAGTCTACTTGTGTGCCAAGTTATATTGAAATCAGACAAAAACTGTAGGAGGAGTAGCATTTTGAAAGAATTTCACAGAAATTTCTATTTTTAGTAACCATGGCAACACCACTCATCAAAATCAAAAACCGATACACAGAATTATGTATCTTAGTGTAGTCTACTTGTGTCTTAAGTTATATTGAAATCAAACTAAAACTGTGGGAGGAGTAGCATTTTGAAAGAATTTCACAGAAATTTCTATTTTTAGTAACCACGGCAACACCGATCATCAAAATCAAAATCCGATACACAGAATTATGTATTATCTTAGTGTTAAGTCTACATGTGTGCCAGGTTATACTGAAATCAGACCAAAACTGTAGGAGGAGTAGCATTTTGAAAGAATTTCACAGAAATTTCTTTTTTTAGTAACCATGGCAACACCGCCCATCAAAATCAAAAACTGATACACAGAATTATGTATCTTAGTGTAGTATACTTGTGTGTCAAGTTATACTGAAATCAGACCAAAACTGTAGGAGGAGTAGCATTTTGAAAAATTGTTTACAGACAGACAGACAGACGGACGGACGACGGACGCATTACTATCGCATTAGCTCTTCTGGTCTCTGACCAGTAGAGCTAAAAAAACCAGAAGTCTCTGTCGAGACTGAAGCTCTACTGGTTGTACTTATGGCAAAGGAAGAGGAAAGTACTTAAGCAGCTGGGAATTGAAAATTTACACTAGCAAAAAGGAGAATAATGATCCTTGAATAAGTCTCTTTATGTTCTTATTTTAGTCTTCTTGCATGCCACATTATATTAAAATCAGACTAAAACTGTATTTGAAGTAGCATTTTGAACGTAACAGAAATTGCTATCTTTATTAACCAAGGTAATAATGTTCACTGAAGTCAAAAACCGATACACAGAATTATGTATCCTAGTGTAGTCTACTTGTGTGCCAAGTTATATTGAAATCAGACCAAAACTGTAGGAGGAGTAGCATTTTGGAAGAATTTCACAGAAATTTCTATTTTTAGTAACAACGCCAACACTGTTCGTCGAAATCAAAAACCAATAAATAGAATTATGTATCTTAGTGTAGTCTACTTATATGCCAAGTTATATTGAAATCAGATCAAAACTGTAGGAGGAGTAGCATTTTGAAAGAATTTTACAGAAATTTCTATTTTTAGTAACAACGCCAACACTGTTCGTCGAAATCAAAAGCCGATAAATAGAATTATGTATCTTAGTGTAGTCTACTTACATGCCAAGTTATATTGAAATCAGATCAAAACTGTAGGAGGAGTAGCATTTTGAATGAATTTTACAGAAATTTCTATTTTTAGTAACAACGCCAACACCCTTCGTCGAAATCAAAAACCGATAAACAGAATGATGTATCTTATTGTAGTCTACTTATATGCCAAGTTATACTGAAATCAGATCAAAACTGTAGGAGGAGTAGCATTTTGAATGAATTTTACAGAAATTTCTATTTTTAGTAACAACGCCAACACCCTTCGTCGAAATCAAAAACCGATACACAGAATTATGTATCTTAGTGTAGTCTACTTATATGCCAAGTTATATTGAAATCAGATCAAAACTGTAGGAGGAGTAGCATTTTGAAAGAATTTTATAGAAATTTCTATTTTTAGTAACAACGCCAACACCCTTCGTCGAAATCAAAATCCGATATACAGAATTATGTATCTTAGTGTAGTCTACTTATATGCCAAGTTATATTGAAATTAGATCAAAACTGTAGGAGGAGTAGCATTTTGAAAAATTGTTTACAGACAGACAGACAGACGGACAGACAGACAGACACACAGACAGACGGACGGACGCCAGACGCATTACTATCGCATAAGCTCTTCTGGTCTCTGACCAGTAGAGCTAACTAGGAAAATATACAATGGAACATCTAAGAAAATATACAATGGAACATATCATAACATGTATAAAATACATAACAAAAATTTAATCATTCTTTCTGACGTTTGACCTTATACCTTATAACCTCTGAACTTTCCCCTGAGTCTATCATCCAATGGGTCAACAGATTCCCAGATGAAGTGAGCTTCATGGGGTCTTGGGTCCTTGGTTGGATCAACTCGGAAATCTCGAGGCTTGATTAATGGATCTGCAAAGGTCAATTATTAAAAAAGTTATAAGAAGAAAAATATAACTCCCTAAATTTATATATATGCAAAGTTTAAAAGTGAAAATTCTTTTAAACTAAATTAACATGCATAATGAAAGTAACAAAACGTGTGCATAAATTATACAAGCTTCAGACAATATCAAAAGTTTTATATCTATCATTTTAAAACCATCAATAATTGCTCATTTAGAGATTAAATATATTTTAACATCTTGATCTGTCTCATCAATTTGAATACCGCACAATGATGTGGACTATAGAATAAATATTTGCTCACTACTAACAGACAACCAGAGCTAATACTTACCCCCTTCCCCCGAGTGTCCCCGTATGGTAAACACCGGCATGAATGACGGACCGTGACTGTTGATGGCCTGTACCTGGACGTCGTAGAGACCATAAACGTCGTCCACGTCTACCTCAAACTGATTCTCATTAGCGTTCTTAATGTCCTTCTTGTTCCAGAACGTGCTGCCCCGCTTTCTCCAGCTCACCCTGTAACCAAAGCTTGGAGCATTGTGCTGCATTCGAGGCATTGGCTGGAAATAAAAAATCATAATTTAATTGTTATGTTTTATCATAATAAACTATTTATAGTCCCTTTATAATATTAACAAGCACAAATGGTTCGTAACAATAAAATCACATTTACTGCATATCAAGCCATATACTGTAAGTCGTTTTAATTCTACGGTGTGAAAAATTCACGATATCTCAAAAGGTACCAATTGCGATGGTTTTAATTTCACGCTGCAAGAAATTAATGCAAAATTTCACATAAGCATTTAAACATTTTTAAAACTAATAAAAACATTCATGATGGGTTTAATTTCACGGAAAAATGACAAAAAACGTGAACATGGCAAAATTAAAACCATCATGATTATTTGTCAATCTACAGTATTCAGCAGAGGGTCAGTGTCTAGGCAAATGTGATTGTGACATCTCAAATGTCAACAGTAAAAGCCACTGAAAGATTATGTATTTTTATTATTTTATTAATGTATATTTTTTTTAAACAATTTAACAATTTATGACCTATCTAGATTTGTAAGGGCATCATGGTTTTATGTGAAAAACAATTGTGTATTAAATTTGTAAAATTTTTCATAAAATATATTTTCAGTCAAGAAAGGTTTGCATATATAATTAAAATGTGATTTATATGTAAGAGGATGAAAATAGCGTTTTCTTACTGTATTTTTTAAAGAATTTGGCCTAAATAAAACAAATTAAGTCTGCAAAAAAGGCATTTGAATAATCTCAAAAAAAAAACAAACAGAAATTGTTCCCCCAAACTAAGACTATTGTCATCTTCAGCTTTGGTTTTGGAAAAAAAATATCACCGCCTGTATTGGGAAGTGATTACAATAATTAGAGATAAGTTCCGTCCATGGCAGGATTTCATCTTGTTTGAAACTGATCCTCATAAATCTGACTCCATCGGCCAGAGAAATTCAATTATCTGCTCCCGAGGCCACGAGAGCTGCGTCGTCATTGTCGGATCAATAAGACGCTGGCTGATAGCTGTTTTATACCGAAAAATGATAGGAAAATCGGGGTTTTTTGTTTCCGCAATATTATACAACTCCTACATCTTACTCACAAGGAATGCTTTAAGGGGCTCTGTTAATTGAGGACCAGGCGTCTATTAAATGCCGTGACATTCCTGTTCAATAACAATTTATGGTGATTTGTGGGAAAGATCTTAACTCTGTCCATCAAAATGCTATTGCTCATGTACAGATATGTCTGTCTACATCTAACATTTTTGTTTCAAGTGCAGTCTTTATATAATACCGGTATTTCATCTGTTGTGAACATCTCAAAAGTGAATATAGAGACTTAAGATATTCTGAAAAAAAAGTTGTAATATGAGTTAAAAGTAATTTTAAAGATACATATTTAACTTCTTTAATTAGGCATCGATTTTTTTATTTTTATTACTGAATTCATTTTCTACTTTCACATATTGGAACAGGCATTTCTTCATTATTTCTTTAATCAATTACCTACAGAATTCAACTTCAACCCTATGACCTTTCCTCTATCCTTTCTTTTGCGAATGTATTGCTTCATCATTTTTAATTGCACAGACAAACGACTCTCCTCTGACCTTTAATACACACAATATTCTCATTAACAGCCCCTAATTTAAAGGCCAGACTTACATCCCAAGTAATGATTAGTTTTCCCTCCTTGTCCGTCTTCATCTTAACGTTAACCGGATTTGACGTCGGTCTCTCGGGCGGCGTGTTACATTCCGTTTTCGTGGGCTTACTCGGTTCGCTGTATCCCAGACTGTTCTTTGCCATCACGCGGAATGAGTACCAGCCCCAGGGGGACAGGCTGATGAAGGCAGTCTTGGATACCTTGTCCATGTATTCGATTTCCTCGTCCGCTGAGTTCCAGTAGTAGGGGTTATCTGACGTGTTGTATTGTATGAGGTACTCGTTGATGGGTTCGCCTCCATCCAAACCATCGCGCCAAATCAATTCCACCCTCTTTGGTCCGCAGGAACTGATTTCTACGTCTTGTGGAGGTTCAGGTGTGCCTAAATAAGAAAGGATTCATGTGAAGTTTCATTTCTGTTATTTGCAACATACAAACTCGGTCAAAAGCAATCATTACTTTCAAGTATTATGGCTATATCAAAGTGTTATGCAACAAACAAACATTTTTTTCTTGACAATTGAAAAAGGATAAGCCACTGATCTGAAAAAATATTTTTCTTTAAAATGGCAAATAATTTCAATATTTGAAAATAATTCTGTAGAATATAAATGCCATAGACTAAATTCTTGACTTAATTTTCGTGTGCTTGTAAAAGAACAAGGAGACAATATATACTATATTAATGAGATCAATTCCTTTCTGTACAATTTTCCAATATCACAAGATTGTCATTCTAGCCTGCGTTATGTCAGTAAAAAGATTTTTTACCCACTATTTCATTATTCCTATTCAACACACCAAATCTAGAGTTATGTATTTTTGGGCAGACATTTCTCGTAAATCAACATTATTTTCGGAGGGAAATCAAATTGCATCATTACGATTCGCTCTCGGTTTTCTTTTTTGGCTCCCCAAACGAAGTCATTTTATTGAAAACCGTTCATTTCCTGTCACAGTTATGTAGATGTGAGGCCAAGTTCACACCAAGATAAAATAATCTCACAACAATAACCATAAAAAATCGGCAAAACGGGCCAAATCTGACACCAAGAACTGGTTTAAAATAGACAGAAACCATTCCAGCTTTCAATGGCATATTGTCAGATGAGGAATCTTCATTATAGATTTATATTTTGGTAATTTCACAGCTATGGAGTTTTCATGGCATATTGAAAGCAAGAGGCATAAGGACCTTGACAGTCACCTGAGTATTTTATTTTTAACAAGCCTGTAAAATTTCCAAAGAATGGTAGATAATCATGAAATAATGCAAAATTAAAAGTATGAAATAAGACAAATAGGACGATCCAGGATCAACATAACAGGTAGTTTTGTAATCAGCAGCAACTCAGAAACTTGCTGTATATGCTGTTGCTATCTACACTCTATTGGTATATCCCAAAAATATATCAAGACAATAGTTTAATATTTTAAAACACAGTGTTCAACTGCAATCATAACGGGCCTTTTAGCTTCTTGTGGTCTTGGGCCATGAAATTCACAATTTTGGAAGAGGGGGTAATACACTAAAACTCCGTTAGTACGGACACCAATATTGCGAATTCACAGATATAGCAAAGTCATCTTGGATCCATAGCTATATAAATTTAACAAATTTCTTATGCGAATATAAGGAATTACGGATATAGCAAGTAATTTCATAGGCCCAAGTGACTTCATTATAACCGAGTTTTACTGTAGTATTTCAATAGTAGTATTTTTATACACTCTCAGAAGCTAAAGGGGGGAGGGGATAACACCATCCAATTGTCAGGTGCCTGGGATCATACTAGTCTTGTTTTTCAATGAATTTTTAAAATTCATTCACCTTTGTTTTAAACTTGATGAATCATCGTTTGGAAATTAAACTGACACAGTTAAGAAAACATATTTAAAATCAGTCTTTATTTGCATGGAGTTAAGTTTACCAAAAATGTTTAAAGAGGAATCCCACTAGACATACAGTATGCTGATGTTATTCAATTTTATTAGAGATTTACCTTTGACAATGAGTTTGGCTGAGGATTTCTCTTTCTCAGTGACCTGTCCCCTCACGCTGGCTATACAGGTGTACTGCCCCGCGTCACCATAATCCGCCTCCCTCAGGACCAATGTCTGCCCACCGTCCATCACCTTGAACCTGTCTGACCTCGTGTCAAGGACCTCCCCATTGTGTTTCCATCGGATACGGAGATTTTCTTGTTCCGTGTCATCGTCATTGAAACCAATTGAGCACGTGAATGAGACTTGGTGTCCCTTCCTGACAGTTTGGTCGGCAAGGGATTCCAGGAATTTTATTTGGTCACCTGTAAAAATAATTAACAGAAAATGTATAGCCATGAAGAGTGAAGAGTTACCTCCCTTCAGCTAAGAAATTAATTTCATGATCTGTATGTATCCCAGTATCTCGATTAATATATAAAAATTTTTTGGTTCTATCTTATTTAGAATAATGATATAATTGTATGCAAATGTTTAGTATAAATATATTCTTAAATTAATTAATTTAAAGATAATTTCAGCATTTTTTAATTCAATAATTGAGTTAATAAAATTTGAAGAAAAAAAGATAACATGACTATTTAAAAACCATTATAAATATTCAGATTATTTTTTTCAACCACAATAAATATTGAAGAACTACCACAGAATATTATACGAGAAACAGTAACATGCCAATAAGGACTTGAAATGGATTTTTAATTGCCCCTGAAACATCAGATATCGGAATACTGTCACTGACTACTTCCTGTGCTCCACCATCATATTTTTATTTTCTTTTTTCTGAGGGCCTCTAGCCAGGATGAGGTTTTATTGAATTCCAAATGGTTGTAAGATTTTATCAGTCCCCCTTTTAGCAGGAATACTAGCTGAACAATGGAGGCAACTGATGTCCATAAATTACTGTGATGACACTTAATGGGGGGGGGAAGGCAATTTGTAATAATGGATAATTGTACTACTCGTCTCTGTGCATGCATGATGTCCCTCTACTCATCTATATCTTCCTGATGCTCAAAGAATGGGATTTATACAGAATGGCTGAATGGTATTAAAGGTTTGCAATGAAGCAAATGATTATAATACTGTTAAACTTTGATATCTCAAACCTTAATATCTCGAATATCATGTACATGTGGAAGTGATTTGGAAGTCTCGTCCACTTATAATTCTTCAAGTATTCACCCCTGATATTTCAAATCCTTGGATATTGCAAAGAATTTTTTGGACCCATTGAGGTTTAGATAATGAGGTTCAACTGTATACATGTACAATCTGTACATAATTAAAATTATCAGGCATATTAAATTTTTTTTAAAGTTTTTTTAATTAAGGTAGCATATGTGTAAATGTATAACCCCCTCCTCCCCCCATCCATAGAAAAAAAAAATCATAGAAAACAATTCTTAAAGACAAATATGAACCACTCGGAATAAATTTTAAAATAACTGGCCTCCTAAATTTGATCTTATCATTTCATCAGACAGCCTTCAGAGAGTAAATGAGTCTCCCCGATCAGTTCTGATTACATAATTTTTGTAATACAGCTTTTTTTTCCTTGTTCATATAGCTCTCATAACTATCTTCATTTGCCAGAGGGGTCACCTCTCCCATTCAACTGAGGTACAAGATGTACTGACACAGCAATTTATAGGAGATTAATTTCTTACTGTACCCATGGAATAATCTCATAAATTTTGTGTGAAACTCCTTGATAGAGGCATCAAATTATGGAGCCTCTTTTTCAGTGAATGTGCTATCAAGTTCTCCCGACAATAGTCCTGTTTTATGAGGGACGTCCCCTGTATTAGGAATGATACTGGCAGGTGGCCAGTTATATTACACCAGACCATCTGTTTTCACCAAATTTAATATTAAACTGCTACCATATTTGCACTAGTAAGCACACTGGTCCCAATGAGAACTGAAAATTATTGCATTAAGAGATCAAGGGACTTTCTTTACATTATTAACAAGCACATGACTTTAGTTAGTCAAGAAAAAGTTAAGTAAGCTTTGCTTGATCGGAGGGTGCTTTTATCCCTCTCAAATAAAATATGACTGAAAGAATACATCATTTATATTAGGTGCACTTACAAGGATAAATATGGTAAACAAGGAATTATTTTATCTGGGAATAATTATTTTTCTGGGAATTCACCCTTTTCCTGTGAATAAATTATAAGGTGCCCTACTACCCCTTAGTTACTTAAAAAATAAAAATGGTAGTGACATTTTATACCTAAATGTAAGTGATATTACTTATAGATGAAGAAAAAATGTTTATATCACATGACTTTCATTATGTTTTGTATTTTCTATCTTTTTATCAATGTTTCTATCTTTATTTCTTTCTTTTTTTTTTTTTTTTTTTTTGGTGTATAGGCCTAAATTTATTATTGTTATTCAATCTCATAATATAATTATAAGATTTACTTCCGGTAGAAGGGGGGTGGGGTTAGCTTTTCAGTGAAAAGCTAACCCACCTTAGCTTTTCACTGAAAAGCTAACCCCCCTTAGCTTTTCACTGAAAAGCTAACCCTCAACGTAAATCCAAGTTTTGTTCCATTGCTGGCAGAAAAGGACACTGAAATTCGTAATTCCTCACCGCTAACTGTATAATAAATCGTTAGAAACATCGTAGAAGCGATTATTCATCAAATGTAAGCTTAAAAATAAAACGACTGTAGCCCAAGGTAGGCCATTGCGAGTTACCGATTTCTCTTCGCGAAAATACACAGTGATTACGATGGAGGCGTACAGAATCCTGTGTGATGTCGTGAAAGTTCGTAAATTCCCTGATAAGCAAGTTACAATAAGCCACAAGTCCGAATTGTGAAGCGTAATTTACATGAAAAGTTCCAACAAACGATATCCATTACTGCTGAAGGTGGCGTCTCTGCGTCACTTCCTTATTCCATGACGTCATGTTCGCAGTGTCTCGGGTCTTTCCGGCGAGCTCGGAAAAACACGATTGATCTGAAGCATTGTTTATAAAATATGAAAAGCTCAGAATAAATATCAGGATGCTTATCTTCATAATTAAATTGTTCAAGTTAAAATACCCTTGTAAAAATTAATTGCAGGTACCGCAAAGTGATATGTAGATTTAACAGGTAATGAGGTGTACATGAAGTGGAATAAGTTGTATTTGTTAAAATTTGATTAATTTGTTCCCAATTTTAGAGTTCTTGTTGTTGTTGAATTTTTAAACTTTTTCCTGGTGGAAGATTGTTGGTATCTAAATGCATGGATTTTTTTTTTAAATATTTGGATCGACATTTGGCTTCTTTAGTAACGTAATGTAATAAAATAACCTATTCTTCATAAATGATACATAGTTATGTAACTGAGATTTCAAGATTTCCAAGAACTTCTAAAAGGTAAACCAATAAATCAATCTTAAAATTTCTGAAGATTTTGGATCCACCCATATGCTTCGTCGCCGTTTAAAAACGCATTTTTAGTGTGCAAATCTTTCAAATACAGCAAAAAAATGACGTAGACCTTACTGTTACGTCATAGAGCTCTCGGGGTTCAGAGAAAGAGAAAACTAAGCTGGAGGATTGTTCAGTCAGGAAGGGGGATTTCTCTGTTCTTCTCTCTCCGGCATTTCTTAAGATTTGATACTGCTGTACGGAACCGGTCTGTTAATACCACAATACAAAATAATATGTACCCGTAGAAAGGCGCATAACTAACAAGTGAAATATATTTTAAATTGACCATTTCAAAAACTGGATTGGGCAACCACTCTCCCGATCTTTTTTAAATTGTAAATTTTGTATATATACTTAAGTTTAATCCAGAAGTAACAACACATATTAATTAACGGGGTACCATTCGCTTTACACGAAAAGTAATGCACTTTCACGCACATATGACCTAACAGTTAGATTATCTATCATTACTAATGCCAATTTGAGGCAAATTCGTTTATTTCCTGCAAGGGTTATAAGAATTTGTTATAAGAATTTGACGGAAATATCTAGAATGAATGCCGAAAAAAGTGGACTGAAAAACATACGGCCGAAAATGCTGGAAATGTGGTATAAAAAAGTGGTTTAAAAAGATAACATACAGTTAACTCTGAATCTGATACACGGATTATACAACACATTTATGTTGGTATCCACTATATACAGCCCCCCTTTTTTTCTGGACTCCGTGAACAAATGAAGCGATGTTGTTGGACCAAATTAGAAGAAAACCAAGAAAAAGATCCCATACTAGTGTATACTTGTTTTAAAGTATCAGTTATTTAAATAAAATAAGAAATTTGCACTACTGAAATGTATAACTTACGAATTTTTTTCATAGTGCAACCCACTCATTTAAACCAAATTAAACGTCATATCTACCTATGAAGGAATGAAATTTTTTCGAACTATAAATATCGGATTATCCCCCCTTTCCTGTTCAGAAACATCTGAATCCGCTCCTGTATTTTATCAGAGAAAGTAGATTAATGACGTTTGTCAAGTGTTTGCATTTCTTATGATATTCTCTAGATATAATCATACATTAAATTTTAATTGTAATTATTATTTCCCGCAGTGTGATTTTTTCGTGAATTTACTTAAAAAATAACACAACAAAGAAGAAAAGTAGAATTGCTTTGTTTTAAGTTATATGATTGGCTGCGATATGGGAAGGGATTAACCTAAAAAATTAGTTACGTTAACCCTATGTGTTTTTGAATCTCTTCTCCCAAGCAGCTTTGGTGTTGGGAACTTTCATACATTACATATCTATTTACTTATCCCTCTCTTTTGTTAAAAAAATGTTACTTAATTTTATATGATATGAAAATCAGTCAATATGTTCAAGCAGTGTTGTAGCACTTGTCGAGCATCATGTTGTTATTATTTGACCGGAATTATGTGATGTAGTCAACTTGACGAGATAAAAGCCAAAACCCATGAAAAATTGGACAGCCAGTAATTATAAATAAAGTATTTTAACTCATTCTGCACCATGCATAAATTATATGTACTTCTAAAAACTGATTTTAAAAAAAAGACGAAAAAGAACACAGGTGGATAATTAAGGAATCGCTGTTTAGTTAGTATAATATGCCGAGGCATCAACGATAGTGGGAAACATAAATTAACCCATATTTTCCACTATCGTTGATGTCCCTGAAATACTAATTACTAGACGGTGATTCCTTATATATCCATTTTTATACTTTCAGAAATAAAATTGAATAGATTTAGACTTTAAAAGTATAGACATACGTTTAAATTAAACGAGGCCTCCCATGCCAATTTCAATAGTTCTCGCTCACTAATGTCAAGCACAA